GCCATCCCCCCTGGGGGGTGATTTCTTGCTTTCTGTCTCTATGTCTCTCTCTGTTTGGTGAGCGCACGCGCCCTATAGCGAAAACCTCTCAAAAAAAAAAAAGAAGAATTATTTCTTTAATTTTATTTATTATTATTTAATTTACTATAGGGCATGTGCACTCCCTGGAGAGAGGCAGAGAGAGAGACAGACAGACAGACAGACAGAGTGAAAAATCAAGCCACCAGGTCCAGTACTAGAACCATGGTCACCCTTGTGGAAGTTTAGCATCTTAACCACCACCCCACCTGCTGGCTCCTCTTTCCCAATTTCTAGCAACCACTATTCTCCTCTTCAAGTTTTGAGTTTTCACAAATGAGTGACAACATGTGATTATTTTTCAAAATTCTTGAGAATAAAAAGGTACCCTTTTTCTAGTACATGTGCCTTATCTATTCTATTTGTTCCTTCAAGAAGAAGGAACATGTCTCGTGAAGTTTACATTTCCTACAATGCCAAGCATGAAGGTAGAGGCTCAGTAGCTATTTAAAAGTATAGTTTAGTGGGAACCAGCAGTTAGCATAATGGCTATGTCACTGGACTCCCACGTGGTTGACCGTGGTTCGTGTCCCGGACCCGGTGGCTTAAAACTCACGCCGGGCATGTGTGTGTGCATGCCCAAGATCCCGAGAGGAGAATGGAGGAGAAGGGACTGCGGCGTGACCATCCCCCCTGGGGGGTGATTTCTCGCTTTCTGTCTCTATGTCTCTCTCTGTCTGGCAAGCACACGCGCCCTAAAGAGAAAATCTCTCCAAAAAAAAAAAAAAGTATAGTTTAGTGCATGAATAAGTAAGCTTTATCATACTTATTAATTAAAACCTATATTTTGTTTAATACCCAAGAAAGAAAGGAAAATTAAACATAAGTTAAAAATAACAGAGCAGTTAAAAGAGAAATTAAATCCTATTACAGGAAGACACTCTTGAGACAAAAATATTCTCTTCAGGGAAGTCATAAAACTATGAAATCCATCAGCCTGTTGTTACTAATGGGTGCTTTCTATCAAATGATAATAAAAATTCAAGAGTCTAAGAAATTTCAAGTTTCTTGTAAAATTTCTAACATAAAAAACAGGATTTATATTTTTCCGTTAAAAGAGGAAACCCAGTTTCACAAAGCACAATTGTCTTCCCCTTTCCACAGCACAGTATGTATATACTTTTGTGCTTATATATACACGCAAGATACCAAAATGTGTCATTTTTCATCTCTAACAAAATTTGCCTTCACCAGCCTTTAAAGAAAATCTCATTTTCTGATGCCAAGATTTATGTTTTAAAGAATACGAATGAGGAACTTTTCTCTGACTCACTTCAAAAAACTGTGACTCTTCTGAAAGATGCCAGGTTTAAAAGAATGAGTTACAGAATTTCTGAGCTTCACGTGCCCTCCTTTACCATCCACCACAGATGAACAAAAAGCCCTGTGAGGTCAAATGATCATATGGAACTACACTGAGCACTCAGCTGCACCATCCATCAGCAGCAGGTACTATGTGAGCCTGAGTTTATGAATGCTATAAAGGCCAACACCATCTTCCCCATCCACTCCCCAGGTCTTGCCTGAACAGCGCCACGCACATTTATTACCTCTTCGCGGTAAGTCACTAGAAAAGGACGCTCTCCTTTTCCTTATTTCTTAGATATACATTCTCTATGGCCTAGAAAGTATTACAGCCACATACCTGGGCCCACATTCTGTCTCAATTGCCAGTTCTCAGGCCACAGAGCATGTCCTCTTTCCTCTTTCAACACCAGCCCTGGCCATCTGCAGATAACTTGGCTTTGGCATGGGTTTGGCAACATCGGTTTGCTGAATGGGCAAAATGAAAACAAAGCTTACCTTTCACTCCTTGCTGGCTAGTCATAGTCAAAGGCAAGGTATGTGTGGAATGGATAACGTGTGTCCCCAGCGCCTTGCCTGGCTGCTGGGAATGTTGATAAAGTTTAGGCACACTGGCACCATGGACAGGGATCTGACAAAGCTTTCCAGTGAAATTTGGAGGACATTGACATTTGTCCCTTGAACTGCACTGGCCACCATTCATACACGGGAGATGGCAAATGACTGAAAGGGAAAGGAGAAAACATGGAGAGTTGGTTAGTTTTGCAAAGAATAAGTAACAATCAGCCAACAAAACCCTCCAAACACACAGGCCATTACAACCATTGAATTACCAGCGACTTCGGGACCAGCAGTTAGCGTAACAGCTATGTCGCTGGACTCCCATATAGTCGACCGTGGTTCGAGTCCCGGACCCGGTGGCTTAAACTCGCGCTGGGCACGTGTGCATGCAGGCCCAAGATCCCAAGAGGAGAATGGAGGAGAAGGAATCGCAGTGTGGCCATCCCCACTGGGAGGTGACTTCTCGCTTTCTGTCTCTCTGTCTCTGTCTGGTGAGCACATGCGCCATATAGCAAAAATCTCTCTCAAAAAAAAAAAAAAAAAAAGAATTACCACCAATTTCATAATAGACAAAAAAGGAAACATATGCTAAAAATTTTCTCTATTATTTACTACTTTTTTCTTTTCATATTAGTTATTCAGTTCGCTAACAGCTTATGATTGTTTTCCCCCAACAATGGCAAGAAGAATTTACAGAAAAAGACTATATATAAAATGGGACTGGCAGGTGGTGTGGTGGTTGAGGGCACTGGACTCCCACACGGCCGACTACAGTTTGAGTCCCAGACCTGTCAGCTTGCTCTCTCTCTTTCTCTCATTCTGTCCCTCTCTGGTCACATTACAATAAATATTAAAATAAATAAATAAATAAATAAATAAATAAATAATTCTTTACAAAAATAAAAGAAAATTTACTAAAAAGAAAAAAGAATATATTCAAAGTAGCCAACCCAGGGTTAGAAAAGTATTAGTGTGTATCACAGTCTCATTTTAAGCACTACTTGCAATCTGTAATTACATTGTTTTCCTATTTAATAAACTACTTTATTAACTGGGTCCCTAGAATCTAAACTTTTTGGAAATAAGAGATCTGTCCAGCTCAGTTATCTTGACATTCTCAACACCTTGGAACAATATCTGGTGCACAGTGGCTATGTAATAAGTACTTGCTCAAAGAATAATTGAAGCAACAAATGAAAATAATAAAAGTAATATCTGTTGAAAATTATCTTTATATAAGGCACTAAACTCAGTGTTATGCGGGACAAGAAAGCAGCATAGTTTGAGTCATACTTTGCAGGAATTTGCATCTCGTAGGGATAACAAGATGTCAGGAAAACCTAGAAGCAGCAGTGTGCTTCTGTGGAATTAACTTATTTAGAATACCATTAGATAAGACGACACAGTGGGTGGAGGAGTTTAAGAGGCATTTTTAACTCTGGTTAAACTCAGCTTATGGTCAACGCCTTCATTACTGCTAAATTTTTCCTATCAGCCTTTAAACATCATTGGCTTTCTACTAGCCTAAAAACTAAAGAGAAATCCCCTCAACTCCATTTTCTTTCAGCTTCTATCCTCTTGAAATTATCTTCTCCATGACCAAACTTTCCAAAAAACACACTGTTCACTTCTCAACCGACAACTATCTATCTTGGGCCAGACTATATTTTCACTTTCTCATCCCTCTTCTACACAGAGACTGTAATTATTACAAGTCTCTAGCGTGCTAAATCCAATGGATAATTTCAGTCTTTCCCTGGTTTCCATGACATCTCATCTATTTCACTCATTGCATTCATTGCCTTTTATGATTTTTACATTTAATTGTGTTAATTATATTATTATTATTATTATTTTATTTACTATAAGGTACATCCAATCACTAAAGAGAGATGGGAGAAGAGGAAGAGTGAGAAAGCAAGCTAAGAGGTCCAGGACTTGAACCACAGTCAGTCATGTGGGAGTCCAGTGCCTCAACCACCACACCACCTTCTGGTCCCATGCATTCCATCTTAATGTTCTTTGTAGACTGTTTTCTTTACTTGTCCTCTAAATGAGGATGTGCCACGAGGTTTTGGTCTTGAAATCTTCTCTACTAACTGCCTTCTTCCTCCATGGTTTCAACCTATCACATGCTGAGATCATTCAAAGTTCTAATTTCCTAGTCAAAGTTTCAGCTGAACTTCAAACTTTCTACTTTGTATCTTGAAGTAGATATTCCACAGGCATCTCAAAATGTACAAACTAGAGCTCATCATCTTCTCTCCAGTAATTCCATGCACTGAGGGGTCGTTAACAAAACCTAGGTGCCACTCCCTCACTCCCTCTATTCAATGATCCACTCCTGGAAACCCTCCATTCATTGAAAATGTCTACTTTCCCATGAGAGGCCCCTGTTCCCTCTGCAATCCCATCATCTATGCATCTTACCTCATTCTCTAAAATGTAGTTACACTGAACTTGATTCAGTTCCTAGTGTATGGTGCCTTCGCATCCCTCTGAATCTTCTGCTACTTGACTCCTACTTAGCTTTTAGACTCCACTTAAGCCTCATTTCTTCTAGAAGCATTCCCAGTTCTCCTTTGTCTAGACTTGATGCCTCCCCTCTAGGCGTCCTTGGAATCTCAATACCTATTGGGCCACATATCTTGTTACATTACAGTCTTCTCACTACTTTTCTATATGTCTCAATCAACTAGGGCTCTACAAGGTTGGGGAAATTTATCTTGTTACTTGTTAATCCCAGCATGCAGCTCAGGGTCTGGAAGAAATGCTAAGGCTTGGAAAAATACTGAATGAAGGAAGAAGAGATTTACATCTACCACTCTGTCATTCTAGGTAGTAGAGATTTAGTCCTGGCCCTTTAAGAATTTATAAGCTAATTTCAGAGATTAAATAATACATGAAGTCTAAAAGTACAGATCAGCAAATACGTGACAATTGGGAAACATAAACTTTAAATCCTTTGGAACTTCAGAAAGGAGAAAAGTCATTTAAAGGAAGTCAACATAGGTGAGATCATTTGGGATAAGTCTTTGAAATTGGACAAATTCATAAAATATGAAGAGTTGATTCTAGTAAGACAATGTATATAAAGGCAGGGAGGAAGGTATATGTAGAAGATACTCAGTGCATCTGTTATACTGAAATTCAGGATTCTTGAAGGAATCAGGTGATCAATTGGAAAGAAGAGGCTTAAGTGAGACAACAGAAGTTACTGAAGGCATGATAACAGGTTTCGATTTTATTCTGTAATCAGTAGGTTATTTTGGAGATTTCAGGCAGAGGACTGAGCAAGACTGAA